GAAAAATTGTGTTGTTATGAGGGACTTCAATCTGGGAGACATATGCTGGAGGTTGCATTCAGCCAGCAGTGAAACATTGTTAGAGTTTCTAAAAAATATAGAAAATAATTTTCTAACACAAAAGGTATTGCATCCAACATGAAGGAATGCTATACTGGATACAGATGAATTAATCACAGGGTTGGGAGCTGGTGGTTGTCTAAGGACCAGTGATCATGACCTGGTTACATTCAAAACGGGTAAACAGAGGACAGGCCCAGCCTAATTCCCCAACACTGAGGAAAAAGTCTGAGCAAAATTGACTGCGAGAAAAAATGTAGACAGAAAAATGTGGATTACAATGGTGAGTTCTCTAAGAAGCGTTCATTAGATGCCCCAAAGCCACAATTCCACACGAAAGAGGACAACTTTGGCTAAAAGCCCATCCATGGTTCAATGGGGACATGAAGGCAGCAATTAGAAATAGAAAAGCATAATATAACGAATGGAAAAAAGGGGAATAGATAAATACAACAAAGGGTAGAAAATTAATAAGGAAAGTAAAGACTTCAGGGAAAAATCCATGGCTGGCAGGGCTAAAGAAAATCAGTGGGGCCACTAGACAACCAAGGTGTAAAGGAGCGCTGAAGAAAGACAAGGCCATTGTGGAGAAGCTAAATGAATTCTTTGTATAGGTCTTCATTGCTGAAGATGGGAGGCAGATTCCCACACCTGAGCCATTCTTATTAGATGACATATCTGAGGAACTGTTGCAGATTGAGATGTCAGTAGAGGAGGTTTTGGATCAAATTGTTAAATTAACCAGTAATAAGTCACCAGAACCAGATGGTGTTAGGATATAGATATTCAGGCCTGTCTGTAAAGGCCTATACTCTAAGAATTTAGGTGTATTCTTATCACTTGGCTAGTGATAGAGGTATAAAAGAAAGAATCAAAATCACTGTCTGCTGGTGTAAGGGCCTTCTCTTAATGTGACAGTCTGAGGCCCTGTTCTTAGGCTAAGACCTTTGGCTAAGCAGCAGAGGCAGCCATAAGCTGGGAAGCAAACAGTCACATCCTCACATTCCAAACTAGTCACACTGAAATAAGGTGCTATTCGGCTGTTAGGAATACAATCCTGTCCTGATAGTTCCTATCACCTCCAGAGAAAGGGAAGTGCCTAGAAAATGTAAAAGGAAACTTAGTTTGATAGCATCCTGTCTGGCAAGAACTCACTTATCAATAGCTGGGATGTGAAATCCTCACTTCTGTATTGTTTTGTCATTATAGTTCCCACTTTGCTATTGTTTGTCTGTATAATCTCTGTCTGGTTCTGTGATTGTTCCTGTCTGCTGTATAATTAATTTTGCTGGGTGTAAACTAATTAAGGTGGTAGGATATAATTGGTTACAATATGTTAGGATTGGTTAGTTAAATTTCAGGAAAATGATTGGTTAAGGTATAGCTAAGCAGAACTCAAGTTTTACTATATAATCTGTAGTCAATGAGGAAGTGACTGGGTGTGGGTGGGGGTGGGCATGTGGGTGTGTGAGATGGGAACAGGGAATGGGGGTAAGAAAATTGGAATCATGTTTTGCTAAAGAGGGAGATGGGAACAGGGAATGGGGGTAAGAAAATTGGAATCATGTTTTGCTAAAGGGGGAAATGGGAACAGGGAATGGGAGTAAGGAAGTTGGAATCATGTTTGGCTAAGGGTAGGAATGGGAACAGGGACACAGGTGTAAGGCTCTGTGGTGTCAGAGCTGGGAAGGAGGATACTAAGGAAGGAAACTGGAATCATGCTTGCTGGAAGTTCACCCCAATAAACATCGAATTGTTTGCACCTTTGGACTTTGGGTATTGTTGCTCTCTGTTCATGCGAGAAGGACCAGGGAAGTAAGTGGGTGAAGGAATAAGCCCCCTAACAGATGGTATTCATCCAAGAGTTCTGAAGGAATTCAAATGTGAAATTGCAGAACTACTAACTGTGGTCTGTGACCTATCGCTTAAATCAGCCTCTGGACCAGATGACTGGAGGGTAGCTAACGTGACGCCTTTTTAAAAAGGGCTCCAGGAGCGATCCTGACAATTACAGGCTGGTAAAGCTAACTTCAGTGCCAGGCAACTTAGTTGAAACTACAGTAAAGAACAGAATTATCAGACACATAAATTAAGACAATTTGTTGAGCAAGAGTCAACAAGGTTTTTGTAAAAGGAAATCATGCTTCATCAATCTATGAGAATTCTCTGAGGACGTCAACGAGCATGTGGACAAGGGGGATCCCGTGGACAGAGTGCACATAGACTTTCAGAAAGCCTTTGACAAGGTCTCTCCCCAAAGGCTCTTGAACAGAGTAAGCTGTCATGGGGTAAGAAGAAAGTTTCTCTCCTGGATCAGTAACTGGTTAAAATATAGGAAACAAAGGGTAGGAATAAATGGTTTTCAGAATGAAGAGGTAAATAGCAGTGTGCCCCAGGGATCTGTACTGGGACCAGAGTTGTTCAACATATTCATAATTGATCTGGAAAGGGGGGTAAATAGGGAAGTGGCAAAATTTGCAGACAATACAAAATTACTCAAGATAGTTGTCCAAAGGTGACTGTGAAGAGCTACAAAGGGATCTCACAAAACTGGGTGACTGGGTAACAAAATGGCAGATAAAATCAATGTTGATAAATGCAAAGTAATGCACATTGGAAAACATAATCCCAACTATACATATAAAATGATGGGGTCTAAATTAGCTGTTACCACTCAAGAAAGAAATCTTGCAGTCACTGTGGATAGTTCTCTGAAAACATCCACTCAATATGCAGTGGCAGTCAAAAAATTTAACAGACATGTCAGGAACCACTAGGAAAGGGAGAGATAATACGACAGAAAATATCACAATGCCACTATACAAATCCATGGTAGGCCATCACCTTGAATACTATGTGCAGTTCTGGTTGCCTCATTTCAAAAAGGATATATTGGAATTGGAAAAGGTACAGAAAAGGGCAACAGAAACGGTTGAGACGGAACAACTTCCATACAAGGAGAGATTAAAAAGACTGGAAATGTTCAGCTTGGAAATGAGACCAATAAGGAGGGATATGATAGAGGTCTAAAAAATCATGACTGGTGTAGTGAAAGTGGATAAGGAAGCTTTATTTACCCCTTCACATAACACAAGAACCTCATGCTCTGAGTGTCCCTAAGCCTCTGACTGCCAGAAACTGGGACTGGACGACAGGGGATGGATCACTCAATCATTGCTCTGTTCTGTTCCTTTCCTTTGAAGCGTCTGGCATTGGCCACAGTCAGAAGACAGGATCCAGGGCTAGATGGACCATTGATCGGACCCAGTATTGCTGGTCTTATATTAAGAAGAAATTTAAGTATATTAGGAAAAAAAGGACTCCAAGCAATGGTATAGGCCCACTACTAGACGGACATGGTAAACGTTAATAATGATGCACAAAGGCAGAAGAGTTTAGTACGGAAGCTCACTGTGAATGGGCAGGCAGCAGATGGATAGGAGGGGGAGCGAGGGGAGCTACTGAGAATTGGTGGGGGGAGGGATGGGAGAGGGGCAGCTGGCAACAGGCTGGGAAAGGGTGTCCCAGCAGTTCCTACTGGCATTCCTACAGCAATTCCTTGGCAGCTGGTGCCCAGTGCCCTGTGCTCCTCCCATTCCTCACCCTACTCTGACAGCTGGCACATATGTTCCTGCCCCTCTCTGGGCCAAGTGTCTCCACCAGGACCCATGGAGGCTGGAAGGCAGGGACAGGACTGGTGTTCCTACCTGCTCCTCGTGGCCAACCTGATCTCAGAGGAAGCTCCAGCCCCTCTTCCCAATCCCACCATCATTTCCATGAGATATTTTGGGGGGAAACATTGGAAGGGGCAGAAACATACATGAGACCCCCCCAAATATTTCCCTCGAGGGGGCACTAGTCCCCCACACCCATTGTTCCGCTGCCCCTGGTTCAATAAGTATTTCTATTCTGTATTTGGAAAGAGGCAGGATGATGTACTCATATCACATAGGGATGATGAAATCCTTTCAACCGGATTAGTAAATTAAGAGGATGCTAATATCTACCAGGGATAAATATTTTAAAATTAGCGGGCCCAGTTAATTTGCACCCTAGAGTGCTTAAAGAGCTGGCTGAGGATACTTCTGGCCTGCTGATGTTAATTTTTCATAAATTTTGGAAAACCAGGACAATTCCAGATCACTGGAAGAGTGCTAATGCTGTGCCAATATTCAAAAAAGGCAGGTGTGATGACCTGGGTAACTATAGGTCAGTTAGCCATGAAGGCAAAATAATGGAAAAACTGATACAGGATTCAATCAATAAAGAATCCAAGAACAGGAATACAATTAATGCCAGTCAACATAGTTTTATGGAAAATACGTCTTGGCAAACAATACTGATTTCATTCTTTGAAGTGATTACAAGGTTGGTTGATAAAAATAACTGCATAGATATAATATACTTAAACTTTGGTAAGACATTTGAGTTAGTACCACATGACATTCTAATTAAAAATTAGCACTGTACAATCTCAACAGAACAATTGATTATGTTCAATTGATTAAAAACAAAGTAGTTGTCAGTGTGGATTCACCGAAAGGGGATGTTTCTACTGGTGTTCCACAGGGTTTGGTACTTGGCCCAACACCATTCAACATTAACTAAAACTCCTGGAAAACAGCTGGGAGGAAAGCTCTGTGTGTGCCACACTCACAGCTTGCCCCTTTAGGTAACGTCTTAGTGATCCCCCCACTTCAGCTCTCTGGTCCTCCAAGGAGGCCTCAAGCAGCATCAAGGAAGTCATGTCCTGGCCTCCTTGATATATCTATGATAAAAACAACAAACAAAACCCAACACACACTTGTGAATTAAAATCCCATCCAGGCACTAAGGAGCAAAATGGGGGCCACACCCATTTATTTTCCCTGTGTATCTCACCTTTAAAATTACCCCCATCTCTCATCAGGTCTCCTTGCCCCACCCACCCTGCTCCTCACCAGATGATAATGGCCACCAGCCTCATGATGGCTTCGTTGAGGCAGTTGAAGAACTCCTGCAGGGCCCGTCCCTTCTGCTTCAGGCTGCCAATCACCAGGCCAAAGCACACGGAGAACACCACCAGGCCCAGCGCATTCACCCCGTTGGCAGAGCCGGGGATAGGGATGGTTTCCTCGAAGCTCAGCACTTCCTGGAGGCTCCTAAGGGTGCGTGTGACGTTCTCCAGGGTGCCGGTGACATTCTCGGGCATGGAAGCCTGTGAGCTGGCCGTGGTCCCTGCTGTGTCATTGCTGCTGCGGAGGATGGTTCTGGCGAAGACCCTGGTGCTGTATTGCGTCTTGTACTGAAATGATACACCGTTGTCAGCCGTGCCCACAAGCCTCTGCACAATAACCCTGCTCTTCTCCATAGGGCCTGAGCCTGAACTCCCAGGGACTTGGCTGACAACTGTTTGGGCCTAATTCCCTGGCTCAGTGCAAGGATTCACAGACATCTAGATCATAGAGCGTAAGGCTATAAAGGACCATTAGATCATCAGGCCTGACCTCCTGTAAAGCAAAGGCCCTTACATTTCACCCAGTTCCCCCTGCGTTGAGCCCAATAACTTGGGTTTAGCCAATGCAGAATTTCCAGAAAGCATCCGGTCTAGAACTGAAGACATCAAGAGATGAGAATCCACCTTTTCCCTGGGTAGCTGATCGAACTCTAAGGTTTCAGAGTAGCAGCCGTGTTAGTCTGTATTCGCAAAAAGAACAGGAGAACTTGTGGCACCTTAGAGACTAACAAATTTATTTGAGCCTAAGCTTTCGTGAGCTACAGCTCACTTCATCGGATGCATTCAGTGGAAAATACAGTGAGGAGATTTATATACACACAGAACACGAAAAAATGGGTGTTTATCATATACACTGTAAGGAGAGTGATCACTTAAGATGAGCTAATACCAGCAGGAGAGCAGGGGGCGGGTGCGGGGGGAGAGAAAACCTTTTGTAGTGATAATCAAGGTGGGCCATTTCCAGCAGTTGATAAGAACGTCTGAGGAACGGGGGGGAGGGGGGGAGGGAAGAGAGGGGAAATAGTTTTACTTTGTGTAATGACCCATCCACTCCCAGTCTCTATTCAAGCCTAAGTTAATTGTATCCAGTTTGCAAATTAATTCCAATTCAGCAGTCTCTTGTTAGAGTCTGTTTCTGAAGTCTTTTTGTTGTAATATTGCGACTTTTAGGTCTGTAATCGAGTGACCAGAGAGATTGAAGTGTTCTCTGACTGGTTTATGAATGTTATAATTCTTGACATCTGATTTGTGTCCATTTATTCTTTTACGTAGAGACGGTCCAGTTTGACCAATGTACATGGCAGAGGGGCATTGCTGGCACATGATGGCATAAGTGATCACTCTCCTTACAGTGTGTATGATAACACCCATTTTTTCATGTTCTGTGTGCATATAAATCTCCTTACTGTATTTTCCACTGAATGCAACAGATGAAGTGAGCTGTAGCTCACGAAAGCTTATGCTCAAATAAATTGGTTAGTCTCTAAGGTGCCACAAATCCTCCTTTTCTTTTTGCGAACTCTTTAAGTCTCTCAGTGTCAGGCATTTTCTCCAGGCCTCAAATGAATTGTGTGGATTTTTTCTGCACCCTCTCAATTTTTGAAACATCCTTTAAAAAATCTAGATCCCAGACCTGGACACAGCATTCTAGGGCCAGTCTCACCACTGCTAAACACAGGTAGAAACATCTCCCGACTCCTATTCACTGCACCCCTATTTATCCATCCAAGGGTCGCATTAGCTCTTCCTGCCACAGCATTGCACCGGGAGCTTGTGTTCCATGGCTTGTCCACTATGACCCCTAGATCCTTTTCAGAGTCACTGGATACAGGGTCCGGCCCCCCATTCTGTAGGTGTGGCCTGCATTCCTTGTTCCTAGATGTCTGACTTTGCATTTGGCTGTATTAAAACACATATTGTTTGAATGGGACCAGCTTACCAAGCGACCCAGATGCTGTGCTACTTACACTCAGGGAAAGAAGTCTCTTCTTCAGCTCCGCAGGGGATGGTGCAATGGCTAGCACTGTGAGTGGGGAATCCCATTTGGTGTCATTTTACACCCAACTGTTACCGTTGGGCCAGATATTCATACTTGTGCTATGGGCCCTTTATATTGCTCGTGAGGTGCTATAAAGGGGCAGGGGAACAGCCCTGGGGGAGCTCCCCTTGTTCACAGGCAGTACAGGGCTGGCATATAAGGGGCCCCACACTGCCCCTTGGCAGGCCCCTGAGAGGAGCAAGCCAAGAGCAGGAAGGGTAGTGGCCAGAACAGTCTGTGCTCCAGCAATTCCGGGCTGTTTACTAATCTATAGACAACTGGGTAAGGCTGCCTGGGAGCTGCTCTAATTTATACTGGTGGCTGCAGTGGTCATTGGAGCAGTGCACTCTGGGAGGTTCAAAGGTGGCCTAAACCCATCCCTGCATCTCTAGAGGGGGGCAGTTCAGAATGCAACCTCTTCTGCACAGGCATAAAGGACAATCAGAGTGCTGGGCAGGAAGAAGCAGGCATGGGGAACCGGTGTCCGTACCTGTTTGAAGCAGGCTTCTACTAGGTTCGGCGGGAACATGTTCCTGAAGCAGATAAAACAAGAAGAAGGTTACTGCTGCCATCTGGCTGAGAGCCAGGTGAGCAGGCCCATTGCCTGATACTCATGGTTAAGCACTGGCTGTAGTCGGGATACTCAAGGTTAGTAAGAGCTCAATGCCAATAGCACTGAGTTTTCTTTCAGGTTATTCAACGCCCTTCCAGATGCAGCCAAGCAAGGAATTGCTCTAGCCCCATGGCTTGAAACATTTAAACGTGGCTGTGCTCCCAAGGGGAAGCATATGGCCCTGGGAGGCTGATCTGTGTGAGCTAGGTTTTATGCAGCTATGGATAGGGTCCTAAGATCATCAAAGTGAGAGAAGGAAAAGACCAGACCATCATCTCCATCTCCATTCTCTGGCACAGTCCAATTTTAAGTGTCCCAAGCTGCGCAGCTTCCACTGCTTCCTGCAAAATGAGTTCCCCTGACTGATACATCTCACTGTATCTCAGCCCAAATGGTGCCTTTCTCTATCTCATCCATCATTCCTCCAGGGCTGTAAGCACTTACAAGCTCCTGGCTTCTCAGTAGCCCCCCCTCTGCCCCGCAGGCAGACAGAGCTCCAAGCAGTTCAGGGAGTCTCATTGTGTTTAGAAGAAGTTGACCCAGAATGTCATTTCCCTTTTCTTTTAAATGAAAATTCTGGACTCCTCCTACTCCATGGAAAATGTCAGAATTTTGAGGTTTTGTTTCAATGCGGAACAATATTTTTTAATTTTGGAATTTCCTGTGGAATGGGAATCCTGGGTCCCAGCCAGCCGACCTGAACTCCCTCCTTTTCATCACTGCCTTTCTAGTAGTAGGATGCACAGAAGGCCATATTCCAGGCGTACCACGCTGGAGCCATCGAGAAAGGCCCTATGATTTCCATGCACTGGGACATGATGCCATTGTATCATACAGCATCAGACTGCACTGGGCTTTTTGCAGCCCTATCCTGCGGCAGTGCTTTGAAGTGCAAGTGTGGTCGCGCTCCTGGTAATCCACCCTGACGAGGGGATTAGCCCCAAGCGCTGGGAGAGCGGCTCCCAGCCCTCGGAGCCTGTCTACACTAGCGCTTTAAAGCGCTCAGACTTGCTACGTTCAGGGGGCTGATTTTTCACTCCCCTGAGCCAGCAAGTTAGAGCACTATAAAATGTAAGTGTAGCCAAGCCCTAAGTGCAAATTCATGTCTAATTCGCTGTCAGCTCTAAGCCCTGTTGGCTGGTTTCCTGAGTGTCCTGTGCCTTGTAAGCCATTTACACCAGGGCAAAGTGGAGTGTGAAGTGGGTGTAAATTGCTACCACATCAGAATAGTAGGACTTTACACATACTAACAATTGTTCTGCTTAGCTTCTGAAGCCAGGGCAGGAAGCAACAGGCTTAAATTGCAGCAAGGGCGGTTTAGCTTGGGCATTAGGAAAATCTTCCTGTCAGGGTGGTTAAACACTGGAATAAATTGCCTAGGAGGTTGTGGAATCTCCATCTGTCATAAATGTAAAGGGAAGGGTAAACCCCTTTAAAATCCCTCCTGGCCAGAGGAAAAATCCTCTCACCTGTAAAGGGTTAAGAAGCTAAAGGTAACCTCGCTGGCACCTGACCAAAATGACCAATGAGGAGACAAGATACTTTCAAAAGCTTGGAGGAGGGAGAAAAACAAAGGGTCTGTGTCTGTCTGTATGCTGCTTTTGCTGGGGACAGAACAGGAATGGAGTCTTAGAACTTTTAGTAAGTAATCTAGCTAGGTATGTGTTAGATTATGATTTCTTTAAATGGCTGAGAAAAGAATTGTGCTGAATAGAATGACTATTTCTGTCTGTGTATCTTTTTTGTAACTTAAGGTTTTGCCTAGAGGGATTCTCTATGTTTTGAATCTAATTACCCTGTAAGGTATCTACCATCCTGATTTTACAGAGGTGATTTCTTTACTCCTTTTTACTTCTATTTCTATTAAAAGTCATCTTGTAAGAAAACTGAATGCTTTTTCATTGTTCTCAGATCCAAGGGTTTGGGTCTGTGGTCACCTATGCAAATTGGTGAGGATTTTTACCAAACCTTTCCCAGGAAGTGGGGTGCAAGGGTTGGGAGGATTTTGGGGGGAAAGACGTGTCCAAACTACGTTTCCCAGTAAACCCAGTTAGAGTTTGGTGGTGGCAGTGGTTATTCCAAGGACAAAGGATAAAATTAATTTGGGGAAGTTTTAACATAAGCTGGTAAAAGTAAGCTTAGGAGGTTTTCATGCAGGTCCCCACATCTGTACCCTAGAGTTCAGAGTGGGGGAGGAACCTTGACACCATCTTTGGAGATTTTTAAGAGCAGGTTAGACAAACACCTGTGAGGGATGGTCTAGATGATACTCAGTCCTGCCATGAGTGCAGGGGACTGGACTAGATGACCTCTTGAGGTCCCTTCCAGTCCTATGTTTCTACCTTGCACTGGTGTAAAGACTGCACAAGGTACAGGGCAAGGGAGAGTAAGGCCCTAGTTTTTCTCAGTAGCTCCTGCTTCCCAACTGTCCCTGTGTCTGTGCGGGGAAAGGGGCTGCCTCAGATTATCTTTCCCCAGGTATTGCTGACCCTATTTTCAATCTCCCCTTTGCATTTTTCTCTCACCCCTGCTATTTGCAGCTCCCTCCATGAGGATTTCATAGCCTCAGGGTATTTTGTGAGAAGCTCTTTATTCTCTTCCCAAGCATGATTAAAGAGAGTCGATACAACTGGATGAGGAGAACGAGGAACATATCTGTATTATTTTTATGAATATGATATGCACCTCAGTTTACCTGCTTGATATTATTATGTCTGCCTACACAGAGTTACATCAAAGGAGGCTGTTAGGGAGAACAAACATGACATGAGAAGGTGACAGAGCTAAGATACGTCCAGAGAGAATATCAGGGGCCCTTCAGAGAACAGTGGGGGAGCTATTAATTGGGAAATGTCACCTTTCTCCAGGCCAGAGCCTATGATCAAAAGGACACTGAACCGTTAAAGACCCTGCCTAGCAAGGAAGAAGGGGGGTGACTGGGTAAGATGCTAAGAGAATGGTGCGGGGCTGTCTGTCTCTCCACACTTGCAAAGAGAGGACAAAGTTTAGCTGAGCCCAGATGTGTATAGACTTTAGCTGTGGTAACCCTTTTCTCTGCTTGCTAGATGCCTTTGTGTGAATGAACTGTACACTGGTTTTGAAGGCTGTTTTGGGGTCACTTTAATCAACTGTGGGTCAAAGGCTCCCAGAGGGAAGTTTTCTTGCAGGTGCCAAATTTAGCTGAGCCTGTTGTGTTATCATGGTGGAGAAACTGATGGTGGGCTACAGCCAGAGAGCCAGCCCCAGAGTGGGGAGTAGCAGGGTCCAGCCTGGCAGGAGACAAGGATTTCACTCGGCAGGGTCTGCAAAGGGATGTAAATTGTAGCTCGCCCTGTAACCATGACTCCAGTCTTAAGACCAAACCCTGCAGTATCCCGGAGACCCCTCCCCATACTCTGCTGAAATATGGTGACCCATGATAGAGAAACTGCTCGGCCTCATGACTAGGGATTTCTCCCTCCTTCAGTGTATTGCAGCGGTTCTCAAACCGGGGGGTTGGGACCCCTCAGGGGGGTCGCAAGGTTATTACATGGGGGGTCGTGAGCTGTCAGCCTCTACCCCAAACCCCGCTTTGCCTCCGGCATTTATAATGGTGTTAAATATATAAAAACGTGTTTTTAATTTATAAGGGGGGTCGCACTCAGAGGCTTGCTATATGAAAGGTGTCACCAGTACAGAAGTTTGAGAACCACTGGTGTATTGGAACAGAAACTCCAGCTTTCTATAGAGAGCCTTTCAGAGTCCAGCCATACACACAAACATACGGAACAAACAAACAAAAAGCCCCAGCCAGAATAAAAAGAACACAGGCAGAAGTGCAGCAGCAGAGTGGGGCTATCAGATGTACCTCGCACAGTGGGCAGGTGGTGTATGTGTGCATGCAGTTCAAACAGCTCTTTGCCCTCGGAGACTGCCTACAGGCTCTGGAGACCAGAGTGGCTGAACTGGAGGAGCTGACAGAAACGGAGAGGTACACAGAGGAGACTTCCTGGGACACAGCAAAGCGGGCCCAGCCCCCATCTGGCAGCCTCTGTGCTGTTGGGGAGGGTGAAAGTCTCAGGCAAGGAGAACATCAAACTACAGTGGAGGGAAACAATCACATACTCGTGACCCTCCTTCCAGATGATGTCATGGTAACCTCTCACACTGAGGACACCCCTCTTGGGGAGGGGACTGAGTTACTAGGAAAGGACAGGTAATATAATAGGGGATTCGATTATTAGAAATATAAGCAGTTGGGTTTGTGATGACCAGGAGAACTGCCTGGCGAATTGCCTCATGGGTGTGAAAGTTGCAGATTTCTTGAGACATCTAGACAGACTTATGTGCAGTGCTGGGGAGATGCCAATGGTCATGGTACACGTAGGTACCAGTGACATAGGGAAAGGCAGGAGAGCAGTCCTGGAGGACAAATTTAAGTGGCTAGGTAAGAGATTGAAGTCCAGGATCTCCATGGGAGCATTCTCTAAAATGCTTACAGTTCCACGTGCAGCACCAGCTAGACAGACAGAATTGCAGGGTCTCAATGTGTGGATCAGATGATGGTGTTGGAAGAAAGGATTTAGATTTATTAAGAACTGGGGGATCTTTTGGGAAAGGAGGAGCCTATACAGGAAAAATGGGTTCCACCTAGACAAAAATGGAACCAGATTGCTGGCATGTCAAATTAAAAAGGTCATAAAGGAGTTTTTACAACTATGGACTGGGGAAAGCTGACAGGTGAGGAGGACACGCAATTCAGACAGACACATCCCTTAGGGAAGGATTTATTAAAGGGGATATTCCATAACCTAGTAAAGAGAAGAGGATAGAAGCTGATAAAGTACAGGTAGGAACTGAAGAGAAACAGTCAAATGAAAGAGTCCCATTCAGTTACAACCCATGAAGGCAGACAACTAAATATTGCCAGATTTTATAAGG